TTTATTAATGCAATTTTCTTTCGCGTCATATAGATTTGAAAATAATTTGTTTCATTTAGTTCAATAGGTTTAGTTGAAAATTTAGTTTATTGACATTAATGGAAATGGGCAATCTCTGCCTAAGTACATCATTTATTGCTAGATGTTAAAAAGAAAACCAATTAAAATAAAAACAAGATCGGGAAATTCAAGTTAAAAAATTAATGAAATGCAAATAAGTATTTTTACCTGAAATAAAAATTGGATTTTATTCACCTTCATTGTTGTGACCTGCACCAATAATGCCCCAAATTAAAAGCAAGTTGAATAAATTATTTGTCAAGTGAAAGTGCCTTTAATTCAACCTGGCCACCTACAGAGTGAGCTCCTCAATTTTCTTACTCAATATAAAAATACGCAACTTTCACGCAGACGTAACATCATTACGATGGAGAGTCACGTGGCCGCTCGATCCATTTCCCAAGCTAAAAACATTGACATTCACCGTCTCTCACTCGCGCGCGGTCGTAAAACCCAAGTGCAATGTCAAGTTCAAAAACAAGCCGCCGCAGATAAATAATTACTCAACAGCTTCTTCTTCTCTCGGTCTTTTCTTTTCTGGAAATAATTGGCAGAGTCGCCGTTCCGAGAATGGTGATCGAAAATCAGAAAGTAACGCTATGGTCGATTTTCATTATTTATTATTTGCTTTTCCGCGGGGCTCGGCTGTTTGTACGTTTCCTCTCAGATCGGCGGTACCGTTTGTTAGTAGATAAATAGGCAAGAATGTAAGTCAATCCGAATAGGAAAATAATATATAACGATCTGTGCGTGTGTGTAACTGAGTAAAAGGTCCTTGACACTTTGTGAACAGACGTTTTGCTCGTTGGCCTGATTCCATGCGATTTATTTGCAACTCTTTAACAAAGTTTAAAACAAATATATTCAATTAATAATTTTTTTGTACAAATTAGAAATTAAAAAATCTTATAAAAGTAATTGTTTTTTATTTGAACGTTAAAAATATTTTACTGATTTATTATTAATTTATTTTGTGTACATGCAAATGAAACAAGAAGGTAAACTATACACTAGTATTACGACTATTTAGTTTTATATTTCAGGCTTTTTTTACTATATTTGTTCCTATTAACTTATTAAAATATAATTCATGTCTAAATATAAACAGAAATATATGAACTGTATTTTAATACTAATTTCTGTCTTTAATCTATGATAGTGATACTAATAAGTCATGTATAATCATCTTCCATTTTAAGACTTATTATATATACATTATATCTTAAAAAAAAAAAAATCTAAACATTGGTAAGTTAATGTATAATTGTTGAGTGCAAGTGTCACGCTTGAAAATTTCCTGGATTGTAGGGCCTTTGTTCTCATAAACAACCTGTGTAATTGTAAAAAAGGACAAACAAAAATATCATCTTTAATTGTATGCAATAGTTGAATTAACTAACCGAATTGAAAAGTTGAGCATGAAAAGAATTTTCTTATATGCAAATAACTTGCGCCTTGCAACACTTCTTACGCCGCACACATGACGTGAAAATTAATTTCTAAAATATAATGCCTGGTGCGAATATGCGCAACTCTGTGTCGCAGCGTGGCCGGCCGGTTAGTCGCGGGGAATACACAAAAACCCACAACAAGCGCAGGTACATAAATAGAGGCTACACGCGATTGTTATTCGCCGGAGTCTCGCGCGGCTCAATAATAATAACAGGTGATACCCTGGCCTTGTCAAAAGATGACATCACACGCAGGCATGCACACGATTGTCTTAAAACGCTAATGTCCGTGCCTGGGAAAAAACAACAGGGTCCAAAAATCGATTTTAAATGCAAAAATGGATGGGTTCCGGGATTAAATTTTGCGCTTGAAAAACATGAGGCATAAGTATTAACTATAAATAAAAATCCTGTAAAAGGTCAAAAGATGAACTAAAAATTCAGGGCATCTCTGCTGGATTTTCCCAGTTTTTAAATATTTTTATTTTATTTTTCATTAATTAATTATTAATATAATAATTAATACATTTGCTAAAAATTTCATTGAAAGAAAAACATTTTTTGGGAAGGAAATATTGAATGTTGATCAAAAGGCACCACCACTAGCAAAGATCATACAAACATTGCAAAGGTTTAAAAACGTGTGTTTTCTTCATATTGAGAAAACGGCGCTGCAAATACATTACAAGTTTAATATTTTATTTTTATGTAAAAACATTTGCAATTTTGATTTAAAAAAAATTATAATAATATCAATAGGTGAGGGTGTAAAAATTTCAAATTTAGTGGTAGAACTGAAAAATTTCATTTGGTAAATTTAGAATCTTTACTTTTAAATTTCAAATTTAGAAAAAAACTACAAAAAATTTACTAAAATTAAAATATTTTATGTATGATCGAGAAAGAATTTTCTAAGAATAATAAAAAATTGCTTTAAGCTAAATTTTACTCCGTAGTTTTTGGTTTTTCATTGAAAAAATTTACGTGCAATTTAAACCATTTTGAGCAGCTCTGCTCACAATCAAATCAACAAACAAAAGTAATCGTCGGAGTCCAAAATAGACGCAACTGTTTCTCTCTTTTTTTCCGTGGAATTCCTCATTGTATAGCGCTTGCAGTTTCATTTCCTTGTTCCGTTTTGCTCACTTCACTCGAACAGTACAAACCTTGTGTCCGATCTTTTTCTTTTCTTTTTTATTTAATTTTCACTTGCAAAAAAGAATCTCGTTGGCAGCTCCACACCTGCATTATTCGCAAATTGCTCCTCCGTACGCTCTTTTTATTGTGGAAAAAACAAACTGGTTCTCCATCAAAAGTCCTCCGACGTAATCATCTCCCATTAAAAAACGAGCGCATCTTCTTCCTAGCCAATTATTTATTTGCCCAAACAAACATTACCTGATCTTCTTTTTACAACCTTGGCGTCGTTTCCCAAAGTAAACAGCTTGAGATTCGACTTGCACGCACCATTCGCACCATTTTTATTTCCAACCTGCAATTATTTCTTGCATCTTTCTTGTCCATCTCTGCAACTTCCTGGAGCGAAACATATTTTGTCCAAAACAAAGTTTGGATTTTTGCTTGAGAGAGAACTGGTGCATATAATTTTGATAATCTACATGATTGGAGCGACCTTGGACTTGTGCGGGTGGTGTAATTTCTTGGTATCGACAATAATGGCAGGAAGATGAGGCAGTCTGCTGGAAAAACGCTGCCGTTTATGCAAATCTCCTTTTCAGATGCACCTGTGAAAATTCTCACAATTAAAACGCAGCGCTAAAATAAGGTGGCGATTTTCACATCTACGAGATTTTCAATTTGTTTTTATTTTGTATTTTTCTTCTTTCGTGAGAGATAAAGCCTCTTCTTGAGCAATCTCCTCTTGCTCACTCTCTTTTCGTAATTTAATTATACAAAACAGATAGAGGGCAGTGATCAAGAAACATGCAGCACGACTGTCCATTCAGATTTCGGCGGATTATTTCTTACTCTCCCGTGTAGTTTTGTTTGTGAAATTGAGAGTGTTTGTTTTGAATGACAGCATGGGGCAGTTCCTTTAATTCTTGTCAAAGCTACTGCGCTGTTGCGTCTTTTTAAGTGATGACGAAAGGACAAAGCCCTGTCTGCGTCCGGCAGCCGCGCTTTGTTTCGGATTAAATGACAAAGTTTTTTGCTGCCGCCCGATTGCAACCTTGATTATCAACACAGACAAATGAAAATCGGGCAAAAATTACAAATATAATAATAAAAGTAATTACATGCAAACACTTAAATTAAATTAAATTAGTGCGTTTTAACTTGAAACTTAAGCACATATTTTTTAGTTTTATTAACTAACAAATTATATTAAAATTAAAATCAATTTATATTTTTTCAAATCATGTATATATTTGAAGCCTTTACTCTACACAATTTAAATTCTTTAGTGCACTTTAGTGGTTTAATATGTTTAATAGAATTTTAAGCAAATCAGATTTAACCCAAATTCTTTATAAGATTCTTTCAATAACATTTCTAACTTAGAAAGCTCTCACAGATCTCATGGTTAATTCCATTCATAAATTATTAATAATAATAATAAAAACCATAAAACAAATTCAGAAACAATATAAAATTTAATAATTTAGCAAAAACATGTCACTAATAAAAAAATATCTCCCCTAATTTAATAAATAAATAAAATTATTCAATGTAGTTTCAACTGTCTCTTGTAAAATAATTATACAATATTGATATATTATGAAAAATAAAATTTTATTCAAAGATATAATGGGGTTTATAAAATTATAAATAATTTTTTAAAATAGTCTCCAATATATTATAAAATACCGCCTTTAATATGCTTGAAATTGGTTAAAGATAGAAGAACCGTTTTAATTATTTTTGCTACCTTATTATGAGTAAAAATTTTTATATCATAATTATGTAAGTAAAATGTATCAACTTGACTATCATAGTGAAATAAATAATAATGATAGTGAATATCCTTTAGCGCACCTAAATCGTTTTATTTTTAATACTGAAATATGAAAAAACCCAGAAATAATGAGTTTGAAATTCAATAATGTTGAAATGTCCTAAAATAAAATTAAATAAAGGATTTTATTGACTTGTTTAGAGAAAATGCAAAAAAAAATGAAATATATTATTATATTTTTTATTTTTAAGTATGATAACAAGTTGATCATGAATTTCCTTCTTCTAGTAATCAATATTTTGCAGGCAAAAGGATGAGATCAACCCTGACTGGCATCACGTGCCAAACCTTAGAGCGTCTTTCCTAACACCGAAGTCACTGAATAGATCACAAGATGTTGTTATTATTATTTATGTTATTAAAAAATAAACTAGGTGAGCAATCAAGGGGAGCATCATTTGCTATTTTTCATCAGTTACGTCACCCCGCACGCATGTTACAATATATCAGGTGAGGAGCTCGAATTCATCTTTGCTCGTCCTCTGCAGGTTGTGGAAGAAAAGAGGAGTGGATCAAGCGAGCGAGTACGACGGCCGGCCGTGCAGAAAGAATCGCAGGTAGAGGGAGAGGACATCATCCTCGACGGTTATAAGTGGAGGAGCCACCATGGGCCAAGTTCAGTCGTCGCGGGGTAATTGCCACGGACGCGCACCACATTCCGCCACCCAAGGAACGCAATTCGCATCTTCTCTCTTTAGGCACACGCGAGTCGTGCTGGAGATGAGTTGTGCTGCTGCAGGAGCTCAGTGAAGAGAGAAAGAAAGAAACTCGATTCTGCAAGACTGCCCCGTTTGCTCAATTTTTTGGCTGACTTTTGTAAGTAGAATTTTATTTTTTATCTTGACAATTGGTAATGAAATTAAATTTGTGTATTTCGTTAAAAAGATGCAAGTAAAAATTACCTGGTAAAAGCAAAAATTTATGCAAAACCTTCTAAAGGCGACGATGAGATCAAAAAGACTCCATCCGCCATCCGCGTCATTGGTCGTTGGCATTGTTGATGAGCAAAAAAATTTATTTTTTATTTTTACTGCTGACTTTTTCTCTGAAAAAATGGATCATATTTGTTAAAATTCTAATTCAAACTTTTGCAACTCAGAAAAATACGTTGATAACATTTAAGTAATTTTAATTTTTTTTTAAACAACTTTTTTATGATCATAAGTACAAGGAACTGTCAAGTTGCAACTTGGCACAAGTCTCGGAGTGCATTTAATCAAGCTAATCGATTTCTTGGCACTCTGCTCAGCTGCACAATAAAAATTCCAACTCCGTATCTGTTGACAACACGCGTATTAACAAATATTGTGCATTGTTTTATTGTCCTCTCTGCCCGAGGATTGCAGAATAATTTAAAGTGTTGCTAGCGGCTTTTTTTTACATATCGAGAGATCGTTAGCAGAATCGCCTCTCTCATTACTTCTGATCCGTCTATCGCGAGTGCACGATTTAATCCAGTCCATTATGCATGCTTGTCTCGTGCTGCTTATACAAGTCCACTTCTCTCTCGCGTCTATAATTTCAAGATGAATTATTAAATTAGCCATCACGCAGACGGGAAGTTCAAAGCGCTTCGATTTCTGCACTGATGCATTTAATAAATTGCAATAGTGTCATCGGTTTGAAAAAACTTCAATGAAAAAGTTTCATAATTTGGTACATTATTATTGATTATTATTAATACTAAATTATTGTTAATTGATGTCTAATAATTGGTGTGCAAATTTTATTTTATTTTAATTGTAGAAATAAAAAACACCTTAGTCTACTGAACCAAAAAAAAATTCGATTTAAAAAATAAAATTAAATCCAAAATCATGAAAACTGATTATTCAATTATTTGCGTGTTAAAAGTAGCACTTGCATAAACAGCTATTGATACAGCTGCAATATTTTAATACTTTATAATTCATTTTATTATTTTTTTGCATTTCTCTCTCTTCCTTATTTTTCAATTAAAATAAATCTTCCTCCGCTTAAACTCCATAAATTATCTCAAGTTTGCATGAGCAACCGCAGTTAATCTTCAAGAATATACCGCTGCCGCCTTTATCCCTCATACTTTTTTTCTCTGCAAATATTTACGGCAGACATCCAAACACCCGGCAGCACTTCCAAAACGACCTGGATGAAGCCATTCTCGTCGCTTTTTAATTGATCAGATATCCCCTGCAGAGCAATAAAAGAAAAAGGACCGTTCCTTTTTTCGCGAACGTTTTATTACTGCGTACGTGCCAACCTCCACCTTGACAACATCGCAAGTTCAATGGCGGCGTATTTTACCTAGAGCGTAATCAAACCCACTGCGATTCGATGCATCTGCCCGCGATAGGGCGAGGCCCTCGAGTTCGCCACTGGCGTCACCCACTCTTGACCCACTCGTGTAAGACTTTAACGAAATATCCATAAATCAAAGCCTATATAACTGTTCTCATCCTCTAGTTATTTATCCTGGCAGACGTACATGTCCCCTGTCCTTTCAAGCCTTCTTCTTATATAACCTGTTTGCCAAATTCTTGTCGAGTTTCATATGAAGTGCTTGTTATCTACGAATTTTAATGCGATTTGTTTTTAGTCAGTAAAAATTTATTTTCCTCAAGAGGCGTGTGTGAATTTTTGCTTTAATTTTATGTAAGAGAACACAGACATTCCATTTGGTTAACATGTGAGAGTTCTGCTAGAACCGGAAACATGCATTTTTTTCATAATTAATTTGCAACGCATTTTTTTGCAACAACATTCCGTAAGTTTCAAAACTGAGGCGAATAACCTTCAAAAATATTAGTCATTTAAATTACTTGTTACCAGTCTAAAAATATCGATTTAATAAAATATAAAATAATTTCCTCTTTGGGAATAATTAATCACGCAAATTTTAATTGAAGCCTTCGTCTCCAAAGAAGTAATTTTCCTCCCAAACAAAATTAATTGCCGTAAGTGATCCTAATGACACGGTTACTTAAGTTGCCAACAAAAAGTGTTGAGATTTATCTTCACGAAACACCGACACCACGCTAATGCACACGTGCGTCATGACACCATGAAAAAAAACACAAAAGGTCAATTGTGACCCTGGTTTCATTATCTTGATGCGAAAAAGGTGTGCGTAACTTTGGCGCAGCGCGATTGATTTTTCTGCCAAGAATTTATACTTTTTTTATAATGCTCTTTATTTTTCGCTGCCACGGTCATCCCAATTATTCAAATCGCGTATTTCTGCAGACGGAGGGGGAGGAGGAAAAAGGCCTCCAGACGAAAAGCAATTTTCTTCAGCAGAGCGTCTGAAAAAACTTATTTGTCTGCATTTTATTATTGTTATTAATTTCGCTATCGGAAATCTTCGGTAAATAAAAAAAAATCCTAATTTGGATCATGATCGTGCTAATTACTATATTCAAATTCGGTTCCGTTTATGACATCATCACGGATGATGTTAGCTTGACCTTCGAATTTTCAACCTCATAGGTTGCTAATGTGTAATTACGGTCCGGCAGATGATCCTCAAAAGCGGCGCCGGCATTTGCGTGCGATCTGAATCTTCTCTAGACAGGCAAAGCGGAGTAACTCGGGATTTTATTAGGTAGATTGACGGGTCAGGAATTTTGTTGCCACATTAGGCAAGGTCTCTTTAGTTAATTGCCTTGTTATTTCATTATGTGTACAAGTACTGACCGGCCGACAGAAGAAATTCTGGTGTATTCGGTGGCCAGTTTCGTTTATTACGTCTGGATTTCTAAGAAATATGAATAGAAAGGCTGGTGCGTAATAAAAAAACAGGCAAGACTATTTGAGCATCAAGTAAATAATTATAAAAAATTAAAAGAATAACTAAATTTTTTTAAATTAAACTTCATATTATTTTATTTATGAATTTTTAATTTTTTTAATTCCTTTGTTAAATATGTTTCATTGATTTGGTTTTATTAAGTCCGTGATATTTTAAATCTTGTAAAGTTTTAACTCCAAATTTAAATAAACATTATATATTGTTACTTTGCATGAAACAGGTTTAATCTTTAATTTGTAAGAAAACTTTATCTCCTGCCTCAGGATTATCATAAGTTAGAATAATGGGAATAATGTATTCTGATTTAAAAAAATAGCTATTCGTAAATTTATTTTAATAGATTAAATTGATTATTATAACAGATAATACTTTATTCTCATAAATACTAGAATTTGCTTACACTTTGGTTTATGTCAATTATATTATTTGGGAAAATCTAAAATAAAAAATAAATTAACTTTTCTGTTCTCTCCTTTTTTTATGCAAAGTTTTTAGTTATTACAAATCATAAACGTTGGATTTTCTATAATTCGTTTCGTCTGCTGCTCCAGTCACTTCATTTTTTATGCAAATTGCACTCACGCGAAATTTTGCTGAAAATTGCCACTCTGCCCGATCGTTTTTTGCCACTGGCGTTCAAGGCCAAGTTCATTGTCTCAACACTGAGATTCACAGCGGGATCGGACGAATAAGTAAAATTTAGAACAAAAGATTCGCCCGGCGTGAAAATCGATCTGGTAGAAGTTTTTATTTGTACTATTTTTAACTCTCACTCGCGGCGTTTGCTCCCCGCCGGTTCCGAGTCAACGTACGTGTGTCCACCACAATTATTGTCAACTCGTTTTCGTGTTGCAAGAATTCACTTTAAGTACATGACCGGACGCACTGCGAGTGAGAGTCACTTCCTGCACTAATAAAATAAATATGTACATTCCAGTTACACGCGACTAAATCGAAGCTGCTGAATTGCGTAACCAATTAAAAGAAATAAGATTTTTCCTCACCGGCTTAGGCGAGATTAACGGAACGAGAAAAAATCCAGCTTATGCTTGACAGGAAGGTGCATCTGCGAATGATGAATGGCCGGTCCTTGACGGCACCGTTGCATTCTGCGTGCACTTTTGTACTCTCGCATTTGAAAGGCCATTTGTTATCTCAAAAATTGACACCAATTTAATGAGTGGTGTGTGTAAAAAAAGAGTGCAATGCCCTAACAATTCAGCTGCACACTTCAATAGAGAAAAATAAAGAAGAAGAAAAAAGAAAGGAAGGAAGGACGCGTGTGAGGTAATAAAAAATGACGAGGGCTTATGTCTAGATTCCAGATTGGGCTGTAAATCCAACGGTTTGTTACATGAGGAGGAAAGGTGAGCTCGTTAGAATAATTTTTAACGCTTTTAACAGTGTTTAATTGAGGCAATTTAGCTCACAAATAATCGTTTAATACAAATTTTGGTCCAAAAAGGGCTATTGTGTTGAATTATTATTGGAAAAAAAAACAATACTGATTAGGAGCTCTGGTTTTTTAAATTCGTTTTTAATTTAAATTCCTGATTATAATTAAATAGGCCTCTTTTAAAAATTCAATTCCAATTTTACTGATTCAAGTTTCTTGCTTCAATTCTGAAATTAAACACGTTAAATTATAAGATTAAATATTTCAGAGTATTTTAATTTAAAAAATATTTCCCTTATAAATATCCTCAAATTTATTGATTAGGTTTATTTCTTACTTTATTTTTATATCTCTTTTTTACATTAAATTAGGATAAAGTAGGAATAAAATTTAAGTAATAATTTTTATTACTGAGTTTATTGACTTCTTGGAATTATTTGATTTTAGCAAGTTTTTAGCATTTATTGTGCCTCTTTAAATTTAAAGAAAAATGTATTTGCCCACTTGTAATTTTTTCATTTTTTACACAGACAAAATTTATTCAATCCCTTTTTAATACGCAATAGTAAGGCGTCATGTTATTACTTGCGGCTCGCATATATTTATGAATTACAGTGGAATTTTGATGGCAGT